TGTGTTATGAAAGAATTCCATAGTGTTTGTCCTTGACCCTGATCAGCCTGCTTGTCAAGTCTCTGGTGTTGGTAATATTGATGGCTTTAGATTGGATGCCAACACGCTTCAAGTCCTTAAACCAGAATCAATCGTTTTCGGTGAGGGATATTTCTATCATGCTGCTCTTTTCTCGCGTCTAAATCCTCCTGCTATATCTGAAAGTATTTTGAAAAGGCGCCGTTTACACTGGCGATTTTTGCGGCGATTTTTGCTGCGATTTTTATGGCAGTTTTCGGAAATATGAAATCTTTTGTCTCATCCTTCAAAAGAGACATTCGTCTAGGAAAATCTTGGTATCATGAAAAAACTAAAGTAAAATTCTTTACCATTATTTATTATGGACAAAATCGCAAAAAATCACAGCAAAAATCGCAAAAAAATCGCTAGTGTAAACGGTACTTTATTGGTTCTTTTTAGTGTAAAATTTTATAGCATACCAAAACTCATCAACATCAACTTGAACCTCGGACTAAAAGATTTTATATATTATAACTCCATTCAAAGTCAGTACTATGCGCTTAACTACTTCATGTTTTATTTGTAATGCGTTGACCAAGTTCTACCACTCTGAAAAGCATCTTACAGATCTTTGCTGAGACCAGAATTTTCTATTGGGCCGTGTACAACGTTGAGACACCCGTCGTGTCTCAGTACCATTATGCAAGAAAAATACACTTCGAAACTTCCATTTTGTTGCCAGAGGGTTCAATAAGTGCGGAGTAAAAACTGTTTGTCTGTTTGAGTACAACGTTGAGACACCCGTCGTGTCTCAGTACCATTATGCAAGAAAAATACCCTTCGAAACTTCCGTTTCGTTGCCAAAGGGTTCAATAAGTGCGGAGTAAAAACTGTTTGTACATCCGTCATGTGTCAATATCAAACATGACTCTTGTGTAGTTACACAGTTTCAGTACCATTAGGTATGAAAATCACCATCCGATAATTCCGTTTTGTAAACTGGTGCCAAGTCGATCGCTTGCTCACAGCGGTGACCGCTATTAAACTTTGAGAAATGTCCATCCATTTTGTTATCAGAGTGTTCGATAGGCGAAGTGCATCTGTCTAGCCAGGCCGTCTCGTTTGAGCAGACCCTCTGTTAGGGTCACAACTGAAGTTTTAATATTTTTTGTTACCAAAATTAATATTTAAGATTAATTCAGTCATCATCCTTGATTTTGATGAGCAATTATTTAGCTATATAGCAAGGGCGGATCCAGGGCGAGATTCGGGGAGTTCCGCTCCCCCTGCCATACCTGAGGTTCAATTAACCCTCCCCCCCACCATTTAGACCTCCTCTAAAACATTTTTGGTCTGCCCTTGCAGTAACCTTAGTTTCAGGCCCGAGGTTGGGTGGGGGGTGGGGAAGAATTAACTAAAGTTATTGCTAACATACTTCAAATCTAAGTCAATTCCCGATTTGTATCTCGCTGCAAAACGTTTATCACTCAGTGAGATAGTCGCATATAGCCTGGTTCTACAAATTAACCGTCAGGGTAACAGTCTACCGATTGAATTGGAATTTTGGAGAAATTTTGGAGCGAACAAAAAACCTACGAATCAAAGAAACGAACGAGAAAAGAACTCTACATGATGATGAGGCCTGAAACTAAGGTGTTGAAGGAACGGCTCAGTACCAAACGCTATAACCAAAGATTGAGGTCAAATGCTGACAGCTTGAGTCGTTGAATCTTGTTTAAGTCTGGAACCTTGCCACTTCCTTGCGTTGTACCCAAGACGATTTTAATCGTTCAGGCAGGAAGTTTCACACCCACTCTCTCATTTGTACCCTATTTATGATAATTGTTGCTAACTTATCCTTACTTTCAGACGTTACAGTAAACAATGAAGGGTACAGCCAAGAAAAGGGGTTATCTGTGCCTCTATGTACCACAGTGACAGTCAACGTCAAAGTCACAAATAATGCGGGTAAGTAAAAATAGAATTATCAAATGACTGACTGTCCTGATTGGTCGAAATGCTAATGCTCACGTCATGGCTTGGGGTCGTGGTTTCCTACGCGTCTCTATTAATCTCACAGCATCCTGCGTCTTAGATCAGAATATCTATAACTGTTTTGTATTTTTTTTGCTTTAACAATGGTTTGATAACTGTCGGAGCTGACTCAGCTAGAAAAAATATATATATTAAAAAAACGCGCACGCGTGCTGTGTGCAGTCATAAAGCAGAACACAAGAGAAGTGTTAGGAGCACGACGCGACAAGAGAAGCTTAAAGAGGAATGCTTTGTATAGATGGTGGTTATAACGTAACATTTACATGCGCTATAAATAACTTGTTGTCTTTTTAATTAGATCTAACATACAGTCGGATTCTGCTGTCTTTTGAACCGTACCAGGATCACTCGAACGGCTACAGGGCGTATGAACTGAACGGTAAAGTGGCCTGGTTAGGAGACCTGAGCAACCGCGCCGACAGCGTGAGTACATTTCAGTGATTTTTGTTAAATGACCTTGTTCGGGATGCCTGTGGTTAGGCTATTAGGTGGGTGGGGCTGTATTATTCATGCAAACATGTCGTTCGTTGCCACATTTAATGTGAGCGTGAGTTCTATTTTTGTTTGCCACTATCTACCCCAGGAATGCGGTTTAAACAACCTTTTATTTTTCTGTGACCCAGACAACTTGAGATTTGGGGTGCCTGTGGTTAGACAATTAACTGGGTGGGACTGTATAATTTATGATAACATGTCAAGGGTGGTTGGCCCATAATGTGAGCGTGGCTTCAATTTTTTCTAGCCTCTGTCTACCTCACGAATGCGGTTTACAGACAACTTGAGATAGGCATCTCGTATTTTGGCTTTCGTCCATCGAGCTCACGGTTTGAACTTACAGTTAGATTGACGGAAGCACCTAGGCTTGGCTAAAAGTCTCGTAAAGAGGCCAAGAGGCTATCCATCAATCTATTTATCAATATATCCATCAAAGAAACTAAGATCTGTGATCCAGGATTTGATCTTGCCTGACTTTGGACATCTCAGCTGTGCGCATAAAAGCTATGAGACATACTTCAGCTATCATACGCTGTAAACGTCCTACTTCTCAAATAGGTAGCTATGAGAGCATTCTTTTTGATATTATTTTGATATGGTTTTGTTTCACCAATCCAGCTTTCTCCCGGTGAATCTCTACAACATTCTTGTTCCTTCGCGTTCTTCTACACCGGGGATTTTTTTGTTCAAATCAGTTGTGGTGCAACTGACTCCCATCCAGCCACTCCTCTGACCAGGTCGCCTCGTGTTAGCCAAGATAAAACAATGGAGAAAGACACAAACCCCAATACTCATTGTTGGACGCTTTCTCCTCCATTGAAGATAACAGTCGTGTCCTGAACCGAAGTCAAGATAAATCTCTTGAAAATGCTGGGATGAACATATAATGATCCAGACAAACGGTCAAGGCTGGGTGTGGATATAAGGGTATAAAGTATGAATGGAACACATTGGGCTGTGAAAAAAAACTTGGAACAAAATTCTTTGCCCGGGATACCTTTATCAACACAAGCAAAACAGAGATACCTTAACAGACAAGCACGTGATTGATGGGCTTGTTAGCCTCGACTTCACGTCGATAACAACAAGCACTGATATATATCTAACGATAGGAGTACCCGCATTTGGTATCTCATGATTTTATTGGAATCATAATAAACTACCTCGATCCAGATTTAATTCGGTCAGCCGTGGACGCAAAAACTGGGGTCCAAGCAACTAAATGACAAAACATTTCTTTTTATACCTGTTTTTTAAATGTTAATTTTGTCACATAAATGGTGATAAAATAACCTTTCTAAAATGAAATACAAATATACTGTAATAATTTAGAGTTTAATTTGAATTTTCTAGCGAAATTACCAATTGACTAGTGGTTTTCTTTTTTGGCGAATTTTACCGTTTACCACTTCCTGTGGTTTTTCATTTTCATATATTTTCCCCACGATACTTTTGACTTTCCATTCTGGGAGCGGTTTGATAACAGTACCATTCAAGGTCATTGTAAATACAGTTGATTGTCTTATTGCCCAAGTTCCTAGGAGGTAAACATTCTGTCGCTCGTTTCTCGCTTCCAGAAAAAGTTTTTTTTTTTTGGAAACGAGAAAATAGCGACAGAATTGTACTTCTGGGTTCCCGAGGATGAGCTTCTTTTAAGGCCGGTTTGGACGGTACGATTTTCGCCTACAACTATCGTATACAACACGCTCGCGCCATCCTACAACTCGAGTCGTAGCGTGTAAATCAAGCCTACAACTCGCCTACGACAGACATGAGCGTGTTGTATACGATAGTTGCAGGCGAAAATCGTACCGTCTAAACCGGCCTTTAGATGAACTTCAACTTCTTTCACTAATATTTTAAGCAATCTTTCTTTTTCTTAATTTAGTTGATTTTTGAGGATGGGATAATTTTGGGGTAAAAGTGCTCCATATCACGGAAGAAATTTCGTATTTTCTCGATTTCGACTAGGGAAAGGGAAATTCCGTATATCTTATTTGAATTTTGCCACAAGTCTTTCTATATATTGTTCAATAAGACAATATTATCAACTAATAAAATTTCTTTACTTTTAAAATGAGGTTGTCTCCCAGTAGCTAAAAAAGTTACAATTTTGTATGCTAGGGTAACGAGAAAAGGATTGATCAAAGGGTGGTTCACTCTGGTTGTCAATATAACAAAAGAAACGGGAAAAAAAACCCATTTTTCATAAATTAAATCAACATGGCGGCTATCACGAAACCAAACATGTTTCAAGGTCAGAAGATTATTTTGATAATGGAGCTATTGTTATAAGCGGTCAAAAGTCCTTATTTTCACCACCTTAACTCAGTCGATTTGAGGTCTATTGTGGATTTTCTCAGAGCCCCCTTTACTGCATCTTGCTTCTCTTCCAGGCGTGCCAACCGCTTCGTTCTCATTGAAGTAGTTTGTGAGTGTTTGTCTGGGATTTAGCGACTGAGACGTGGCGGAAATCCTCAAGACGATTGATGAAACGAGTGTTGAGTGCGAAAAATAAGGCACACGATCATGAAATTACTGAAAAACCGGCTTGACTGAGTCTGTAGGGAAAAGAGTGTAGCATTAATAGCGTGGCCGAGCCTAACCTGAGGGGATTTACGCGTGAGCTATTTGATAATCAAGCTAATCAATATCTGACTGTCACCACCCGTTCTATTTACTGACCTTCGCCCTTCTATGTCTCAAATATTTACACAAGAATCGAAAAGTCACGGAGAAATAAAATCGTTTTCTATTCTATACTCATTTCTCCTTTTTTTCAGTTTAGTCGGTCAAAAAAAATTTTAAAACACTGATTTGAAATTTTTTTAAAAATAATATTTGGTGATGATTTTTTATTGATTTTAAAAATCAAAGAGAAATATTTTGAATTGTTTTAATTTTTGGCATTTATTTCCATTCTTATCGCTATTTGAATTTCTCTCAGTCTTTCGTCGTTGCATATTTTCAGAAGTCGTGATTCGTGAAGAAATAAGTGAATATGATATAGCACTGATTGCAACAACCAGTTCCTGATCAGTATTGACCAATTAATTTTATTTGGTCGATTCATAAGATATATTGAGATGTTTTTCCGGGCTAGTAAGTCTTTACGGGTACTCTATTCAAGCAATCATTGCACCTACCTGCTTATGAAACCAAACTTAACCTCGTTAATGCTCCGGCGTTCCAAAGTCACTAATTAGAGGGCTTTCGTTACCCAGACAAGGGGATCTCAAGTCGGGTTGACAAAAAATTGTACTTATATAAAATAATAGTCATCTGTTAAACAAATGTCTGATGTTGTAACCTCGTAGGTATATGCGTTATTACAAGGATAGAATGATTTGACTATAGCATGCCATGTAGGGCAAAACAAAACTTTTTCCTAATCAAAAGTTTGTCTTAGGGTCGAGTTTGATGTACTAAGTTGTCCCTTCCTAGAGGGCCTTGCTTGGCATAGTCACAGAGCATTAGGTCCCTCTATCGATTCGAGAATTTTCCTCGGGAATTTCCGGTTTTCCTCCCTCCGGCAAAAACCCGATATGCTAATTTCCAATGCATTCCATCTGTGAGTTACACACGATATTGATCAGCCCAGAAGTTGTTTCAGGGTTCGATCTGTGAGTTAGCAGTGCCCTAACCTAGATCAGCCCAAAGGTTGTTTCAGGGTTTGATCTGTGAGTTAGCCATGCCCTGACTTAGATCAGCACAGAGGTTGTTTCAGGGTTTGATCTGTGAGTTAGCCACGCCCTGACTTAGATCAGCACAGAGGTTGTTTCAGTGAGTTAGACTGATGTATGAGATTGATCAGTACAGAGGTCTTTTCAGGGTTCGATCTGAGAGTTAGCCGAGACCTGACTTAGATCAGCCCATGCAGAGGTTCATGTTTCATTCAAGGTTCGATAAAATTTAACGCAACCTGAAACTCAGGTTATTAAGACTTTGTCCCATAATATATTCCATTTCATTTTCCTTTCATTCTCGTTCATAAAAATTCAATAATAGTTTATTTTTCACCTCGTAATAAATATAGGTTTTCCGAATACATAGGTTATGTAAAGTAAGCAATGGCGCTTTACTAAAACATCCTACTAGAAGTGAAGTTATTAAACCCGTGAAATAGATATTAGACTAACACACTTTAGTAGACCTCAATTCCATTGTTTTCTTTTGTGTCTATTTGACTATTACACGTTGACTAATAATTTTTATTTCACGGTTTAAATGCCTTCGCTCTAAGCATCTTATTTTTTCTTTTGTAAGGATTAAACTGAAAGTCCAGCTTTCAAAGCGTAGATTTTTCTCTTTCAAGCAGTAAAACGCAGAATATTATAATTGTAAAAATAGAATTCTTGATCAAATATCCTTGATCGTCAATTATTTCCCAGAAATAACGAAAATTGTAGAATGCAAAATCTTTAAACAGTGAAACGGTACTAGATTTTTTAAACTCAATAGTGCAAAATAGTTCTCTATATTTTCATCATTGCTATTTGGTACTATTAAATTGGTGCTAGTTTAATAGACCCCCCTTGCAGCACGTCGGAATCCAGCTCCAAATGGAGGACATAACAATAGGTTTCCAACTCTCTTGAGATTACAATTCTTTTGTTTTGTCCTCCAAATTGAGCTGCTTTGACTTCACATGCAGGGGGTCTATTAATCAGTACTGTTTCACTGATGTTTTTTGCATCGCATTAAGCTTATGTACATTACAAGATCATCTCAGTTCCTTTGACAACTCTGCTGTGTCAAGGTAGACATGAAACAAGCACTTCATATAAATATTTATCAATAAGCTGCAGTAGTTACTGTAGGTAATTGACAGCCAAAAGCAACATGTTCTAGTACTCTTTGCTTCAGCTCCCCAACTTGTTGCCTTAAAGCGCTCGCTACAGCGTTCAACTCAATATTTTTTTCTTTCAATTGTTGTACCCGAACCTCGAGCTGAGCTTCCCGTTCGAGTTTTTTCCGTCGACATTTAGAAGCGGCGACGCGGTTTTTTTGCTTTTTTCTTTCACGTTTGACAATTTCTTGCAGCTCCAAATCAATTGGAGGCAGAGGAAGAACGTTCAAGTTTTGGTTCCTACGCAAAGGCGTTTCGTCCAGTTTGTGTTCATTTGGCTCGTTAATTTGCTCCATCTGATTATACGTAGAATCTAAAGCGTTTTGTGAATCCTCTGAGGGTTCGACTGAGCTTACATAATGCATCGCTTCCATGTCACATTGAGGGTTCTCTTTACTCATTGATTCGTAATTTTGGTGAGAATCCTGACGTCTGTCTGTCCATCCATAGCTCACTGTACCTGGAACGCTCATTTGTTGTTGCTGATATTGTATTTTTACATGTTCGTTATTCCCATGCTCTAAATGCGTGTGTTGTTGTTGATCATGAATGTGCTGTAAGGCCTCGGCAAATCCCTGAACATAAACCTCGCGCTGTTTCGCAACGCTGTTTCCCTCGCGTAAAATCCGCGTAGGCGTTGGCGTTTTATTTTGTATACTAGCAAGTATCTTTTCAAACTCCGGTGAAACAAGACTGAAAAGCGGGAATTCAGGCGAGGAAGGTTGAACGGGATTCCCTTTCGGTGTTAACCCAGTGTTACTACCTATAAACCTTTCTAACTCAGGAGAAACCATTTTGAATATTCCCATATCGGGAGAATGGTGAAACATTCCAGTTGCACTTTTTCCATTTATCGGCCGGTGGTTTTCTTGGCCCGTCAGTTGAGTAGGTCGCAGATTTAACCTCATGGCGGACTTGTCGTATTTGTTGAAATTACCTCCTGATTGTGTGGGTGTCTGTTGTTCATAGAAAAGTACATCCATGTTGTCGTAACTTCTATAAACGTGGTCTCCCATTTTTTTAAATAAAATTATGAAGAATAGTTTCTTGTCCGTTGATACTAACTACTAACTGAGTTTTTTTCTGGAGCCACTGAAGCCGCTATGGCTTACCTGCAATTTTTAAGGATGAAGTCACCCTTTACACTAAACATTACCTCACCTGGTAAGCCGCTTATTGGTCAAATTAATTTCGCGCCAAAATGGAACAAATCCACGCGCACGGGTGTAGACAACAAAAGTTCAATTTTCAACTTTTAAACCTTTTTTATTATTTGCTCGAAGATTTTTAATTTTTTTTAGTTCAGGGCTATTTCATCGTGACTTAGAAAAATATATGTTAGTTTTTAGAGCTGGGGTATTTTGATCTAGGAAATAAACAGAAGTAGGCCGTACACTTTTGAACAAAGTGGCCACCATACAAGTACCTGTTACATCTCCCCGGCTGTAAACATTCTTCCCGGGTCATTGGTCTGGCAAATTCCCTGAATTCCACCTGCAAGTAACGGAAAGTCAACCAAATATGTGAACATTATATAAACACTAAGATCGTCTTTTGCCGATGGTACAGGACTCAACTCATGATGATAATTTTCCCCTGCCCAAAATTTAAGTTTTCGTGTCAAACTGGCGTTGAAACTACCTAGGGCGGATGTTCAAAGTCGGGGCACAGTTATCATATTCACAGATCGAATTGCATGGGTTTTATAGCTCGTAAGGTTTTGGCGAGGGATAAGATTGGAGGAAAACCTCGAATCAATCGAGAGTTAGAGTTTAGAAAYAGTGAAATATGTACGAAGGAGCCTTAGCCATAGTTGTTGCTAGCGTTTTTATTTAAACAATCATGTCGGGTCGGGAGATGGATGGTCTAAAGCTATGATCTTCGTGTCATAATGATCAGTGGGAGCATCAAAATATTTTGAGCCAACCGGTTGGTTCAAGCATCGGGCATCTCGTGCGGGAGTCCCGGTCGGACAAACAACACTCGGGATCTTATACACATGATATATACAAATGGTTAGACTTTCAAGTGGCTCGGATAACCACTTTAAACGGTGGTTCCGCGGTCTCTCCTCAATTCATCATTACTCACAAAATATCGGTAGGACATAAAAAAACACTGAGGACGTAAAGAAACCCTATTAGTGAGCACCCTCAATGCCTACCTCTCGTACAAACCAGCTCTCATATTGTAAATTGCATAAAAAGCAATCTAAAATTTGCATCTCAATGTAAAGCGCCTTGATTATATCCATACAGTTTGAACTATGAGTTTGTCCTCATCCCAATGCACGAACAAAAATTTAAAAAAAGGACTATGTATTTTCTTATATCAGTTTTTTTTCCTTTTCTTTTCTTACTGACTTTCTTGGCTTTTTTCACCTTTCATTTCTAGGGCTCGTTCTTTGTCGTTTATTTTATTCTTTACTTTGCTCTAATCCTTTTTCCATCAGTCCTTTTATTATTTCTTAAGTGGACTCAGTTATCCTCATCTTTACCAAAGGCAGCCCAAGATTTTATTTGTATTCATGTATCCGACCGGATATGACAAAGCTAGCCAGGCTTGGAGAAGGAGCATGGCTACGCAGGTAGCCTGAGTATTAGGTCCCTTACCCGAAAAGGCCTCCGGCTACTACGCACAAGCCGAGGCAATATAAATACTGTGACAGACAGACTAACACGGCCTGATACTCACGCAGGCAATTAAAATACTGTGACAGACAGAGAAACACCGACCTTGGACTAGCTGTAATATTGCTTACTATCAATCACGTGACTTTTTGGAGTTGACTAGGGGGCAAACAAGCGGTTGACTGGGGGGCAACTAGCGGATGCTAAGTCAAAACATATCAAAATAAGTCCTCAAACTATTGTATTTGACTATTTTCACGACATCAAACCAGAAAACAAGAGATCAAAACAACCTCCAGGATTCTACAAGCCATCAAAAAAGAGCTATTACCAGAAGTGACGTCTATTGATAGCAACCTATTACTAAACATGGACACTTCCGGATGGGAGAGTTTTGACAACTCGGTGTGATAACAGTGACATTGGGTTTGACTGAGGCATGAAAAGGTTCCTTGATAGAACCCACGTATTCGTCTCAACACCGGCACTTAAACTGTCAAACTCATTCATTGCGGAATTTTACTGTAAGGAATCATTCATGTTTTTTATAATATCTTTGGATCCATCCCATCCAATGCAGTCACAACTAATAGATTTGTTAYATTACAATAACTCTGACAACAACTAAGCTGGTTTTGATTTGACGTCATAGTCGCCATGTTGGTAGCCTGTACCATATTTGGTTGAATTTTTACAAAAGATTTTCTTCTTTGTTTTGTTATTTTTGTTGAACCTTGCTATGGCAACCATTTATTTGGTGTTCTTATTTGTATTCAGTTTGGTCGCAAAAATCACTTTTTCAAACTTTTTTTCGTTAAAAACTTCACGGTTTTATGAGTAGTTCAGAATTGTACACAATTAAGGGGATTATTTTTCCATGTTTGATTCGCTGCCTTTAGATCTCGGTAATAATTCTTTGATTCCTTGCTTTCCATATGATCCCGATCCCTTTTCTGTGACCCCGTGACTCGGAGTCTATGGTATCGCAATCCCAAATCCCAAGACCGATGTGAGCCCGGGGGGGGGGGGGGGGGTACTCTTCCCCGTTTAGGGTAGGGATGTGCCGCTGAGCCCACTGAACCCTGACCCTGTTCCAGAGCAAAATCGCCGAAATTTATACCCTGTTCCAGAGTGAGA